CTCTCGTCTTGAATAATTTGACTTGATTACTTCACTTCCTCTTTGATCTTCATTTCGAGTCGTTTTATAATTTGTTGATTTTGGTAATACTTGATTGATTTTAACATTGAACTATCATCAGTCAAAATCAATTGTTAGAAATAATATTAATCTTGTTTGTTATGATTAAAACATTAAGGATGAAATCAACCATAGGTCAACAAATTAATTTAAGCTACAAAATTAGTTCAATATTGATTTACATTTTCTTTTCCCGCAATACTTAAATAATTAGATCAAACAAAATAAAGTAGATGGACTGTACCATCATGCTATGGATTTTATCGTGATTGACAAGGCTATGGAGTGAATCGATTTCATTTTCCACAAGGTGACATATAATAATAATAATAATAATAATAATAGTAATAATAATAATAGTAATAATAATAATAAGAAGAAGAAGAAGAAGAAGAACAATAATAATAATAATAATAATAAGTCACTTCCTTTTAAAACGAGTAAAAATTATTTGGAAGTATTGCAACAATTCAATTAAGTGGAAATTACTTTCACATGGTGATTTGTAAAAATGTCCAAAATTTGTTCAATGTCCATTCTGAAATATTTTATTTATCAAAACACCCTTGTTAACAATTTATAATTTTACAATAAATACAAAAATATACATACAATTAAAAATTTTGTTGGCCAATAAAATTTTGATAATACTTATTTCAAAAGTACACATGTCAAATCAAAATAAATGTTATATTTCTCATTGACACATATATTAAATATCGAGAACTAGATTTTCAATGTTAAGAATTTTATGAAATGTAGAGAACTTTCATGTTCGGAATGAAATCTCATTATAGACAAATGAAGTATCAAGATAAACATGGTTCAAATATCGATAACAACTTTTAAAATGTCGAGAATATCATTTTAATGTAGCTTCTCACAAGGGCAGAGCCCAATACAGTCCAGGGTGGGCACAGGCCCACCGTGAACTTCTGGACTCTTTTTTTTTTTTTTTACTTTTGGGCTCTTTTTTTTTTTAACTCTTGTTGCTTTTGACTCAAGACCTACCCAGCCCAATCCAAAAACTGAAAAACCTCATGTCACTGAATTTCACTCGTCCCGTCGTCCGTCCCTCTCAAACTCTCACCTCTGCCTCTGTTAATTTCCTCCACTTCAGGCGGCGATGTGTGCATTCCCCCTTCAGTGTTGTATGCCTCTGTTGTCCTGATCCATCCTCGTCGTCCGATGTTGTCTGCCTCTATTGTCCTTGCCCTCAGGCGGCATTTCTCAACAGGTACCATATGGCCTTTATGTTTTAATAATTTTTTCAAGTTTTACCTTTTCATGCTAAGACTGAGATATATTCTATCTGTTCTGCGTAATTAATTTTCAAAAATAGAATGCAAGTTTAAACCGAATTCTAATCCCTGTTTAGCCTTGAGGGTTCTAAATTGGGGATTTATAAAGCGTGTAATGATGAAGTGGATGAATTTTGCTTTATTAGAAATAGTGAGAATGAACTATGAAATGTAAATTAAACATCGTGGCTCCTTATTGGCCTTTTTTCAGTTTTTGATTTTTCTTCGAGAAACATTGAAATGGAGATGTAGGTTTTAATTGAAGCCTTTTTCAAGCTAGATAGGTATTACAACACTTGAGATAATTTAATGTAATTTTTATATACAACATAACATAAGTATATTATATATATATTTGGGGACAATATGTGCAGATTATTGATTTGAGAATTTATATTGCTAATGTTTACCAAGTCCTCGATGAATACCGAAAGAATTGAAATGATTGAAATTTGAGTATTGTTGAAATTTGAAGTAACAATTATTGGAAATTCTTGTGGTTTTCGTTGCTTACCTTTGCTTGTTTAAGAACGTACTTTGATGTTCCTCCATTCTGATTATTTATCATTTGTTTAGACTCTAATCTTTTATGTTTTACAATTGTTTCTTTGTAGACTTGGTGGCAATTGTAGAAAGAATGGCGAAGGTGAAACACAAAGTGTTGGTCTTATCTGGCACAGGTGGTGTTGGCAAGAGTGCATTATCTGCTCAACTTTCATTTGCTTTGGCAACTATGAATTTTCAGGTTGGTCTCCTTGATATTGATATTTGTGGTCTAGGTTCAACAATCAACATTGATACATTGTACCCCACCATGAGTTACTTTCCTGGCTCCGCCCCACTTGGTGGCAATTGTAGAAAGAATGGCGAAGGTGAAACACAAAGTGTTGGTCTTATCTGGCACAGGTGGTGTTGGCAAGAGTGCATTATCTGCTCTACTTTCATTTGCTTTGGCAACTATGAATTTTCAGGTTGGTCTCCTTGATATTGATATTTGTGGTCTAGGTTCAACAATCAACATTGATACATTGTACCCCACCCTGAGTTACTTTCCTGGCTCCGCCCCTGACTTCTCATGGAAGCTATTTATTCTTTTCGAAATTAATGACAAATAGAAAAAAATGCTTCATCTTTCTTCAAAGGTGTAATAGACAATCTAGTAATAAATTTGACCATTTTCGCAAGAGTTATCAAAATTAAACATTTTTTAATTGACAAACATGGGGTTATATATTTTTGTAAATTTCCCTTCAATTAAAGTGGACACAAGTACGTGGAAATGACGTGGAAAGAGATGGTAACAATTTCTAAAAATAAGATTAGATAGAAGCGCTTGTAAAACCACGTACAACCACGGGCGCCAAGGTGGGAGGCCCGTGGGAAATGATATGAAAAATAATATTAGTCAGATATAAAATGCCTAATTGCATTGGAAATGACGAGGAAAGAGAATAATTATCTTAAAAGTCAGCTTAGTTAGACATAAATGCCTAATTGAGCTGGAAATGACGTGAGAATAGTTATCCTTAAAATCAGTTTTTAGTCAAAAATAAATGCCGACACTTGCGCGTAGACTTCTTTATCCTCTCTGCAAGTTCAGCATTATAAAAGACGTTTAAAAGTACAGAGAAACACCAATTCACATTCACCGCTAAGAAGATCTATGGGAAGTGCATCAATGGCTTCAACTTTGGTTGGAAGGTATAACTCCTTAATTGTTCATTATACTATTATTTAATTCTTGAGGCTTTTTTTCTCGAAGTACAAGGGCATGTTATTTTGATAGTTGGGGCTGACAATTAACAAAATTTATGAACCTAGGCTGGAAGGTAAGGTAGCACTAATCACCGGTGCTGCTACTGGAATCGGCGAGTCAACCGCCAGACTATTCGTCAAACATGGAGCTAAAGTTTTGGTTGCTGACATCAATGATGAATTGGGAGAGAAGGTATGCAAGGAATTGGGACCATCATCAGCCTTTTTTGTCCATTGTGATGTAACTAATGAATCCGATGTAGAAGCTGCAGTTAACACAGCAGTGGCCAAATTTGGGAAATTAGATATAATGTACAATAATGCTGGTATAGGAGGGATACCAAATCCAAGCATTCTTGAAATCGAAAAATCAGAGTTCGAAAAGATTATTAACGTAAACCTTGTGGGTGCATTTTTGGGTGCTAAACACGCCGCCCGTGTTATGATCCCAAATCGTCGTGGGAACATAATCACAACAGCCAGTACTTGTTCGAAAATAGGCGGTGGTTCTTCACACAATTACGTAAGTTCAAAACATGGGGTGGTAGGACTCACAAAGAATTTGGCTGTGGAGCTTGGACAGCATGGCATTCGCGTAAACTGCGTGTCACCACACGTAGTTCCTACGCGTCAATCAAAGGAATTCTACAAAATGGATGATGAGGGTTGCCGTGGTGTATATTCCGTCCTCAAAGGCGTTTATCTTCAGCCAGAGGATGTGGCCGAAGCTGTTCTGTTCTTGGCAAGTGATGAGTCGAAGTGCGTGCATGGACACAACCTTTTTGTTGATGGAGGCATCACAATTGCGAATTCCAAGTTTTCCATGTTTGAGTAATCTCCATAAATATTTCCTAAATATGCTTTATCCCTCTCTTCACTTAAATAAATATTGACTTTACTACATGGATAGTAGAGTGTTTATAACAAAATGTTTATAGCAGAGTGTTCGAGGAATGTCGGTCAACATGTGTCCGATACGAACACGCTTTCCTAATTAAGTGTCTGTGCTGCGAATATGTATTGTGTCTTTAAGATAGAAAGATCGCTGTAATTTCTGATACTGTTGTTGATTCATTTCCCCCTTTTTGTTCTTATAATATTTACTTAGTTCAAATTAGTTTTTTACAAGTATCTAGAAATTTGGATTTGCAAGTTAATAACTCAACTGATAAAAAATAAAAATAAAAATAAAAATGGTTGGCTGCACTTGTGGACCTACATGTGGGCTCAGGAAGAAGGTGAGATTTCTCATTTACGCAGAATTTGAAGCCTCTCATTTCTCGTTTGTTATTGAGTATAGTTGAAGAGGTAATTTGCATTCTTTAAGGCATAAACACTTCTCTCTCACCTTGACATGAGAATAAAATGTAAATTTCTTCATTGATTAGATTCTCATCTTATTATATTAAGCTAAAAATGATTTACCTTTCATGAAAATTTTCATTACCCCCTACGTTTTTTGGGTACATTTGAACTGGTTTTTAGTTTTGTGAACTCATGAATTAGTTTTGAATTAGATTATTGAATCCAATTTTTTCACTAGTATATAGTGTTTTGGCCTTGTATATATACTCCAGAGATATGGCGAGTTTAGTTGTATTTAAGAATCCCATAACCTTAATTTTTTACCCGAACAATAAAGAATCTCTGGCTCCGCCACTGAATGGTTGGCAGTTCCTCGAAACTTCAAGTTAGTGGAGGAACTTGAACGTGAGGAAAAGGGCATTGGAGATGGTTTTGTTCGTTATGGAACGGATGATGCTGATGACATTTACATGGGTTCTTGGACAAGTACCTTAATTGGTCCACATAATGTAAGATATTGTTTGAACTTTGCTCTTATATGTGCATGTTATTTAGTACAAATAACTCCATACACCATCGAAAAATGTCACACTTCAACCCAACTCACTTATTATATTCTATACTTAACTCTAGCAAATAATCAAAATTCTAAAGTTGATTCTACGCTATTAGGTTTCAGATGAAGATTTTAGTTGCTTGAGCCAATGTTGAAAACGTTCAAGAGAATGTTCATTTTTCGAAACAATTATTGGTACGCTATAAGCTTTAATTGTCTTAAAAGGAAGCTCTAACAATCTCCAAAGATGGAAAAGATTTCTAACTATCTTAATTAGTCAAACTTTTTGCTTACCATCCAAATGTCTCCAAAAATGAATCTTGTCGCGGGGGCTTTCAAGATTTGCTTCAAAAGTTGTGCACCTATCAAGTGATGGTTGGATGTTATGAAAAATTATAACATTAGGGGTGTTTTTGGTAGTTTTCATTTAAAAGTAGTTATTTTGCTAATTTTCACAAGAAGTGCTCATTTACTAAAAGGACAACTTGCAGTTGTAATTTAGTATAGTAATGTCTGACACATTAGCCATTTGTTGCTTTAGAATCTTAAGTGCAGGATATTGTGGACAAGTAATCAAGATTAAATAGAGTTTTGACTTATATTTAGTTATGAATCTAAACAAATATAGTCTTTATACGAAATTTTAAATGAATTTTGATTTTAACTAAAAATCACTTAAAGTTAAGCTAAAAATACCAAGAGAACTTTGGAGAAATTTCAAATATAACTTTGATTTCACCTATACTTATCTGCTTTAATTAACCGATCGTAAATTAAGGTCCAAAAACCGTGTATAAAATGAACTAGAAGACCCCAAGACTCCAACCATATATAGAATTTCCGGGGGAAGAAAATAGGGACAAGTACCAGATTCTACCTAGTGTGGCAGTCCAAACCTCAATTAACTTAACTCATGTTGCATTATTTCGAATTGAGATCCGTTGAATGCGGTGGACTCCTAACCAAGCTTGGTACTCCTAATTTCTCCAAGTATTTCCTTTTTCCTTTCGTTTCAATGCCCTGTGAACTAGCTTTTTTGATCTCTACCATCAACAGGGGTGGGCGTGGTCCGGTTCGATTCTAAAGAAAACTGAACCAAACCCGAAATTTTCGTGTATTTAGTAAATGAAACCGTCGGGTTTAAATTTAATTATGAAGCCGTTCGGGTTCGATTCCATTCGGTTCGGTTAGATTCGTTCAGTTTTGGGATTCTTTACAATAATTAAATTTTTTTATATTACAACAATGCTACATTAATTCAACTATGACATATTTAATCTTAACTGTTACAAAATAATGTATTACAATCTCGTAATATCTTTTGCACCCCCTCTTTGTTGAGTTCTTCATAGATTTGATTGTTAAAATCACAAGGAGAAGAAGATGGCTAGTTCACTATAATAGAACGGTAGAAATGACATTATCGTAGAATAAGATGTTTAGGTAAAACTCAGGTCAATTTAATTAAGTTGAGCTTAACTGAAAATTAGAAATAGTAAAATCATATTTTGGATTTGAACTAAATTTATTAGTTAGCAATTTATTAAAAAAAAAAAAAAATTTGAATTATTTAAGATAAAGAATTAAAAAAATAGAGAGATTCGGTTCTTGGTCTAGAACCGAACCAAATTCGTCGGTTCTCGATTCAGATACTCGTTCAGGTATTTAACTTAAAAAGAACCGTTCGATTCAGTTCGGTTCGCGTCCAATTCGATCCAATTTGATTCGAGAGTTTTGTGTAGCCCTACTTATCAATTTAACTAACAACAAAGTGAAAACTTTGAGGTTCATCCTAAAGAAACAAAAATCTATTGAATCGAATTCAAAAAGCTAACAAAAGCCTCACAGAACAAAGATTAGTGTCGAATTTACACTTGTCAAACACCAAGCTTTGGAAAGAATTATACTTGATTTATAAGTTGAATGTGATTCGACCATTATTAGTTCGTATATAATTATCAACAATATTGGTTGAAAGTCCAAAAATTAACTAAGTCATTATGTTATTCGTTTATCTTAGTTTTTATCAAAGTTCTTAATGTCATATAATTTAACTTTTTTCTCTCTCTTTGGAAAATTTAAGTGGAATGATTACATGATATATTTAGTATGTTAAAAATCGATATTATTACATAAAAGCTTTGGGGTTTTTTAATTTTTTCCAATGGTTGGGGATCTAACTACATTTTTTTCTAATTAAAATAAAGGAAATATTGATCTTTTCTTATTAGAAAATGATCAATTGCGCACTAAATGTGTGTTTGGCACCCATTTTGAAGAGAATAGAAATTTTGGAATAGTGATTGATGAGAGAATTTGTGGTGAAAAAGTGATGAAAATTTTTAGATTTGCATGTAATATTATTTTATTTAAAAAATGTGTAGTCGAAATGAAAAAATAGAATTTTTTTTTTCTAAACAGAATGGATGTCAAACAGGGGTTAAGACACATAAGTTGGAGATATTGAAGCCAAGAAATAAACTTTAGGAACCATTTGCAAACTGAAAGCTAATATTGGGACCATTTGCGCCAATTCTCTAATAAAAACGTTTAGGGTGATTTTATAAGAACAAATGTTTGAGAATTGGGTAATTCACACACAACATCCTCACCTTTCACTATTATTGTAGATAACGTGATTACTTTTCCATCTTTTTTTTTTTTTTGTATTTTCATCCTTATTTTCATCTTTCATTGCGCAAAAGATCATTTTCATCTATTTTCTCAATTAGAAATTGGAAATTCTCTTTAAAAAAAAAAACTAATTGCAATCATGGTCCCAAAGTTTTTTTAAAAAGTGCAAATGAGTTCCAAATAAATTACTAAAAGTGTTTAATTAGCAAATAATGTCCATGTCTTTCACTATTATAGATGAAAACATCACCTTTCATTTTTGATAGCACATTTGATAGAGGAAAACGTTTTCACCCTTAATGACGCATTTGATAGAATTTTCGGGGGATGAAAATAGGGTTTTCGCTCAAGTACTAGATTCTACCTATTGTGGCAGTCCAAACCTAAATTACCTTAACTCGTGTTACATTATTTCGAATTGAGATCCATTGAATGCATTGGACTCCTAACCAAGCTTGGTACTCTATTTTCTCCTAGTATTTTCGCGTATTCAGCTTCACTTTAGTTCTTTCGTTTTTTCCTTTAGTTTCAATGCCATGTGAACTAGCTTTTCTGATATCTAGCATCAATGGGGGTGGGTGTGGTCCGGTCCGATCCGATTAGGTTTGGTTCGGTTCAGTTCTCATGTATTTAGTAAATGAAACCGTCGGGTTTAAATTTAATTATGAAACCTTTCGAGTTCAATTCCATTTGGTTCAGTTTGGTTCGATTCAATTTGGTTTGGTTCTATTTGGTTCCGGGATTTCTTACAATAATTAATTTTTTTTTATTACAATAATGTTACATTAATTTGACTATGACATATTAAATCTTAACTCTTACAAAATAACGTATTACAATCTCGTGATATCTTTTACACCTCTCTTTGTTGAGTTCTTCATAAATTTGGCTGTTAAAATTATAGGAAGAGAAAGATGGCTTGTTCACAATAATAGAATGGTAGAAATGACGCTATAGTAGAATAAGAGATTTGGGTAAACTTTAGGTCAATTTGATTAAATTGAGCTTTGCTGAAAATTAGAAATAGTAAAATCATAATTTGGATTTGAACTAAATTAATTAGATAGCAATTTATTTTAAAAAATAAAATAATTTGATTTATTTAAGATAAAGAATTAAAAAAATTAGGGAGATTCAGTTCTTGATCTAGAATCGAATCAAACTCGTCGGTTTTCGATTCAGATACCCGTTCGGGTATTTAACTTAAGAAGAATAGCTCGGTTCAGTTTAATTCTGTTTGTGTCCGATTCGGTCCAATTCGATTCGGGAGTTTTGTCTAGCCATACTCATCAATTTAACTAACGATAATGTGGAAAGTTTGAGGTTCATCCTAAAGAAAC